ACCGCCCCTTAGGTTATTGTTGGTTGTTGGAGATGTAATTGAATCTCCTTGACAGCGTCACAGAATCAACATAAGTCGCTTGACCAGATACCTAAATTGTACAGGTAACCTCTTAACCTACAATGGTTCGTCAAAAAACCATGATTCTTAGTTTCTCGTTACGGAGGCCCAAGCGTATCCTGTATATTTTCAGATTGTATCCTCCTAGTAAGCTTTTGGATTGACGGAGTCACATCGTATTACGTCAATGCTGTTACCTTAGTTCGGTGTTTTCCTTCCTGAGCGCTTCATACATAGCGAAAAAAAGGGCTCCGGTCCTATCAGGGTCGAAGCAGCGGCCAGTCTAGCTAACACGCCTCAAATGTGCCCTGGTATCCATAGCAATTGGAAGGTATTGTTTATTGTGCGTTAAGCCTCTCTACACACCCGAGGACCACTGAAGATTTGATCTCGCAGGATGAGAGAGCCTTGAGTGCCACCTGGCTGTCGCTCGAGATTAGGATCTTCTCGATTCGGTACTTCTTTCTTGAAAGAAGCCTGGGAAAGTTCCCAGGGGCTCCAAGAACTTGAAACCACTACTCTATTCATGTCGTCCCTGGGGAGCAGAACTAAAGAAAGCTGGTAGCTCAGCTTGTCCCTGTTGCTGGATAACAAAACCTTACATTTACCAAAGCCCTCCCGTAAAATTAATGAGAGTCCGCTTTGCAGCTTGTTAAACTGATATATGCAATGGCGCTGCCGTCGGACATTTGTTCATTGCCCCGGTATTGCAAACAAACGCCAGGCGTTGAATCTCGGTGAGGGACTGCCTCACGGTTGCTAGGATATTCCTCGAAGCCCAAGCTACCGCCCCTTAGGTTATTGTTGGATGTTGTTGTTGTTGTTGTAACAGCATACAAATTCCCCAAAGAGTTTTTGGGGGGTGTTTCAGGAGTGACAGTCCTTGGCCAGATGTAAATCTGGGTCGTTCCGGTTACGTAGACCCGACTTTCATGGGTCGTTGGTCGTAAATTAATGGTGTACACACGTCTTAGG